ATTCGACGACTCTCTCTCTCTCTCTCTCTCTCTCTCTCTGTCTCTCTCTCTCTGTTTCTGTCTCTATCTCTTTCAAGCTATAAGCTCATCGGGTAGCAGAAAAGCGGCGCCGTGTTATGTGCCTCTCTATCGCGTCGTCCCAAGGGTGACGTCAAGGCATTCCCTTTAACGACGACCAATCGAGTCGTAAGATAGGCGATCATCTTGCCGATTACACCAAGGACAACGAGCGATTACAAGTCGCGTTCGCGACTCGATTTTCTCCCGGGTTCGTTGTCTGATCGATTTCTCTCTCTCTCTCTCTCCCTCTTTCTCCTGTTTGCAAGAAGAAAAAAATTGGGGGAGGAGAGAAAAAACGCGAGTTTCTTCGGTTGTCCAATAGATGTGAATTTAACGCTCGACTTTAAGTACAGAAACCGTGGGCTAGGAGGAAGAAGAAAAAGAAGAGAAAGAAAAAGTTAAAAAAATCGGTGGCACGTAGCGAGCGTTAAAATTAACAGCGCAGTAAGAAAGTATCGTAAGGAGTCGAGAGAAAACTGCGTGCACAGGTAATTCCACGTATGTATGGTCAGCGTCAGTCGGTACCGGGCTCGACGTTAAGACGGGTTATACCTCTTCTTACGAGCTGGGTCGTAATCAAATACTTAAAACTCCGACTACTGCCGGTGGAACGGGCAAAAAGAGGTGAGGGGTTAAGGGCTAAATAGTAGAAGGAGTAACTTCTTTCTACACAACCGTGAAAAATCGTGCCCTTTTCGTGCTCCCTTTGGACGATCGTAAAAGTCTCTCTTTCTCTCTCTCTCTCTCTTTTTCCCCCTTCTATCTCGTTTTTTTCACTCTTAAATAGTCGCCTTCGCGAAATCTTTTCGCAGTCTCGTTCTTTATATTCTAGTTAGCTTGGCGTGTATACCGAAATGATGGTAAAATAAATTATTACTCCGACTCGTGTTCCCGCGATTTTTCTTTTTGCGAGGATTTCATTTTGTCGCTATTAATCGAATCGCAAGTACATAAGAAACGTCATGGAACACATTGCTACCCTATTGCGAAAAGGGGGAATGAAAGGAAGAAAAAAAAAAAAAGAAGAAGAAGAAAAAGAAGAGGGGGACGTTAGGAAAAAGTTGGAGCGACCGTTAAGATCGTAATACGGCAGTAATGCCCCTGTACTTAGCAGAGTATAAATAAGCGTTAAATCCGTGCTTAGGAGCTTTAATCTGTATTTTTCTCGAGATGCTCGCCGGAATACATTATCACCGGAGATAGAAAGAGAGAGAGATGGATGCAGAGAGAGAGAGAGAGAGAGAGAGAGAGAGAGAGAGAGTGGGAGAGACTTTATCGCGGTTGGCGATAATGCCCAGCCGAAAGGTCTAATATACTCGAGCGAACCTTTTCTTCGAAGGGATGTCGCCGCATTTCCACCCTTACCCTTATCCTAAAATTCTATGAAATCTCGTTGAATCGAGTAGAGCGTATCAATAATTACGTAGACGTTGCTAACCGAAGGATAAACCACAAATTGGAGGGCCGATTCGATCTGATCTTTCGCAACGTCGTACAAATGAATGTTACGACTTTTATTAGCCATCGACTGCTCGTTTCGTGGTAGTTTCTCTTATCCATTTTGGTTTTCCACCCTCTTACTACGTGGAGAGAAGTAATTGGGTGTTAGAAGAGACGATTGGATTTCTAACAATAAAACACAGACTGACTGTATTTTAGTTTTCGAGAAGGTACTTTTCTAAGGAAAGGGACGCTTCACTTTTCGTCGATTTTAACTTTTGTATTCGGATACAAGAGGGAATGGTTAGAAGTGGAAAGAGGGATGGAAAAGGAGAAGGAGGAAGGGAGGTCGCTAACGACCATCGCCGGAGCAGGATTGTTAACTGCTGCTGGGTTTGGATCTCCCGGTAGATGCTGCGACGTTGGTCCTTCCATGTGGGTAGCGAAGAGGATCTAGAAAGATGGGTGAGAGGGTAGAAAAGGCCGACGCCGAGGGAGAATGGCTAAGCTATTCGGAACAATGTCTTGTTAGGCGGTTTGCTTTGAGGTAATCGCCGAGAAGACCCAGCCAGTCGTTAGGTTTACCCTCGCGGATCTGTTTGTTTCGCGGATAATTGCAGCCAATACTCCACTCCGAGTTTCTTCGTTTAAACGTTACGATTCTTTATTGTCTATAAAAATTATGAGACATTTGTCAATGCCAATAAATTTTTAAACGCTTAAAATCCTCTTTTTTTTTTTTAATAATTATTATCTAATAATAGACATTATTCGTGGATCGTTTAAAAGTCGAATAAGAATGCACACTTTTTCTTTCTCCTTCAGTCCGTTTTATTCGATTCCATTAATACGTATCGCTGCCACGTTAGCATGTACTCCCTAAGGTAATATTCTTAGTTTAACTCTCTCTCTCTCTTTCTCTCTCTCTCTCTCTCTCTCTCTGTGTCTCTTTCGAGCCATTTCCACGAGTCCGTGCGACTTGAAAGTTCTTCAGAGGGGATGTTGGAATGGAAGGGAGTGATACGGAGAAGATAGAAGAAAAGGTTGAAGGAGGGAAAAGGAGAAGAGGTGGCGAAGGTAGTAGTATCCGCAGAATAGTTACGCCGGCAAACTAAAGGGAGCACCGTATCGTCTATTATATGGGAGTTGCTGTTACTTCGTAGAACCAACTAACTTGGCCCTAATGCCCTGCTTATGCGCGATTATTGTCCTCCTTGAGTTTAGAGCCAAGACCATTACGATCCTATACTAAACCGCACGGCATCTTCGTTAATGCAAAAATTATTATGGATCTCTGATCGGATGTAATTAATCGAAATAAAAAAGAAAAAAAAAGCAAAGAATATATAATATCCCTGTAACTAATGTCTTAATATGTTTGTGCAATTTGTTAACGTTAGCATTTATTGAAAGAGATAAAATAGAATAGAACGGAGGTGTAATAACGTCGAGACGTTTACAGAGAGAACCCGACAAAACGCAGAGACCCTAAACGCGGATAAGAGAAGGATCGTAAGTAATCTCTCTTCTTAACCTCTTCTTTCATTCTAACGTACGTATAAAATCTCTGACAATGTAAAGAAAATCAAATCAAACGACGGCCGTTCGTGGTAAGCCTTTTCACGAGCCTCAAGATGTATTATCGTAGCAATACGTTTCGTCGTTTTCCAATCGAACGATCCATTGTTACGAACGTTATCACCGATTTCTTTGGTTGGCAAAAGAAATATCGTAGATATCGTTTCGAATATCGACGACGTTCAATAATTATTATCGACCATTTGGGTTTGGGGCTTTGAATATTTCGCAGGACCGACGAAATCGATCTATCAAATATGTAGGAGTAATTTTAGAAACGTACTATCAAGACATCATTTCTAGCCGAACGTTAAAAAGGAAATGTGTTAAATAATTGAAGAATTCATTGTTAATCATTGTGGAAGCGATACGCAAAACGTTTATGACATGGATAAAGCTCAGAGTTAAAATAGGAAAAGGGAGGAGAGACAAGCGAAGCTGATAAAAGGCGAAAGGGTATTATCGAAGCTGGTAAAAGAGGAGAGGTAAAAAGAGGAACGTTGGATGGCCATTAATAGAACGCGAACTCCGGCGGTCATGCGCCAATCAGTTGTAGTGACAGTCGCCAGGAAACAAGTATTTCCCATCAGTGCATTCGGCATGCAAGAACCGATAGCCAGATCTGAGCTCAAGTTGAACTTATCACTGGCTTTCCTTTCTTCTTTCTCTCTCTCTCTCTCTCTCTCTCTCTCTCTCTCTCTCTCTTTCTCTTGAACTATCAGTATAATTTCCTCGTCATCCTACGTCATACAAAATATTAGACGTCCCATCTGTCTTTTACATTTCTTCTTTAAATTTCTATAAGTTTTTCATATTCTATATAATATTTGTACATTTATATAATGTATAAATGTAATATAAAGGTATATATGTGGCTGACCAAAAGTGTTATATTCGTACTATTCGAATAGAGAACACCAATAAATAAAAAAATTGTAGGGGAAGTGTAAAAAGTTATAGCGTTTTATACAAATAGTTCGATGTAACGACGCTGTCCATAAACTTTCTCCTCCCTTTCGGTCCTATCATTTTCTATCTTCGCATTCGAGAGGTCCCCCTTTTTCGCATGTATACGCACACGCGCACAAGACTATAACACGCGCGAAATACCATCGGTGACATGGTAAGAGAGAGAGAGAGAGAGAGAGAGAGAGAGGGAGGGAAAGAGAGAGGAAGGTAGATTTTTCCGCGCCTCGATATGATTAATACTCTCGCGATATCAAGGGCGGTGGTAAAGAGGAAAAGCATGGAGCGACAAAGAGCGGAAGGGGTGCAAAAAAAGAGAAAGAGAGAGATATAGATAGGCTGAAACACGGGAAAGAGAAAGTCTGCTACTCGAAAACGGGAGCCCGTCGTCGTGTGTGTCGCGCGTTTCGTTTGGTAGAGGAAAGTGTGGAGGGTGCCAAGAGAAAGAGAGAAGAAAAGAGAAGGACGAACGGGGTGAAGGAGGACGTACGGTTGGGTAAGGAGGAAGAAGGAGGGAACAGTTATGGCACGACGTTCCTAGTGTTAGTGGTGGCCGCTCGCGTCCTACAGCAAATCCCCGTCAACCGCATTCAATTACGATGTTATCGCGAATACAGATGACGGTTATTTCCTTCGGTACACCCTATACATAACGGCGCCCGCGGAGAGCTCCTGCGTGAGCAAAGTTAAGGCCGTATAATGGCGTGCCGGCCGGCCGTGTGATTGTTTTAGGATGTACGTCGACGATGCTTTGGGATAAAGCGGATCCGATTTCGACGAACCAGTCTATCCTATTCGTTCGTTCGTTCGTTCGTTTGTTCGTTCGTTCGTTCGTTCGTTCGTTCGTTCGTTCGTTCGTTCGTTCGTTCGTTCGTTCGTTCGTTTGTTGGATAAGAAGATTCGAAAAAATGATTGAAATCGACATTTTTTTATCTATCTTTATTCTTTCCCGTTTGTTTGTTTGCTTTGCTTGTTTTGTTTTTCCTTGCCCCTTTTTTTTACGATTACTTGGCGGTGGTTTCAATGACGTCACCCGTCACAGCGATATAACAAAAAGCACCTTCCTCGGTTGTTGGTTGTTCCATAATAAAGGAATCTGCCTCTTGAGAAAAAGGCGACGTCAGTGGATGCTTCTTTGCGGCTTGCCTATAAATTTCTTCTTTTATCCCGAATCTAATTATAATCGAGTAAAACATATATAATCGTGTTTAATTTACCTGGCTGCTTCTGGTAACGATTCGAGATAATTCATAGGCGGATAATCTTCGAACGGTCCGGCTATTCGCAAATCCCTTACGTATCTTTGAAAATTAAGATTGAGAAAAATTCATACAAACATATACGAATGTCTAATTCGATTGACAATAGAAATTACCCGTAAAGGGCGTAAGCGTAATCGTTTCTAAGTCCTTTCATTTTGCTACACTTGTTACAGCTCAATCGACATAGAGTTTGAATCCAAGCAGTGACTATCGTTTTTGCATTAGGTGATGGCATCAATGCGGCATACGGTCTGATTTGATATAGCAAAAACCAAAATTCCTATGATAAAATTCTATCGTTACTATCGAGTAATAATAATCGATATACGATTACCATTTGATAAAATAAAACTATCTTACGTTATCCATTTGTTCGTCCATCTCGAACGTGTCTTGTTCGCATATCGAAGTCTCGTCGTGAAAGCTACACAATATCTATAATGATTTTATTTCTATTATCATTATTATTTTGTTGTTTGAATATAAAAAAAGAAAAGGAACAAACAAACAGAGAGAGAGAGAGAGAGAGAGAGAGAGAGAGAGAGAGAGAGAAGAAAGAGCAGACGACGAACTTTTTCGTAATAATCTGGCAAGGATGCAACATATTCGCTCCAGGTTGTATCCAATTCCCATTCCGCAGGTGGAGCTTTGATTACCGGCTCGTAAGACAAGTCTTTGAGCGAACCACTCGGTGGATCCTTGGCGAATACGCCTGGCAACTTGTCATTCAACATATTTATAATCAAAGATGATAAATACCTTGTATAAAGAAAAATAAAGGAAAGGAAAGCGTATAATCGAAAGGATTTAAAAACATATCAGGGATTACCTATTACGTTTGTCACGTAAAATTTCTACGCGATATTCCGCGGCAAAGAGTTTATTCACCCAAGAGATTATCCTATTTTTGTCCTCGACCGACGACATAGCTGGTGCCAAATTTCTAATAGCCGCTCTGTGTATTTCAACGACAGATATCCATTAAATCCCATAATGTCCCATTAAATACAAAAGTAACATAGATCCAAGGATCGATGGATTTACCCGTAATATTGAAATTCCATTGTGAGCGCATCGAATTTTGATTTCATCTTTGGATCGTATTTCATCGACGTCGAATCCTCTTTCTTTATAACCGTCAACGACATATCGTTCCTGTGCGAACCAACGCAAGAAATTTAATTGAAGGTTAAAACTGTGACGTGCAATTTGAGAAAGATGTCGTTTAAAAAAAAAAGAAAAAAAAAAAAGGAAATGACAAAGGAATACATTGATAACTTCAAATAGATGGACACTCTTTCGTTTTCCGTAGCTTCGTCGTAACCTCGACGACTCTCTAAAAGTCAGAGTCAGAGTTAGGAGAGAACGGTTCTTCTTCTCGATACTTTCGCGCGATAAAACATGAAATATGAAGGTTGGCAAGGTTCCGTTCGGTGTAGCCGGTCCGAGCACAAGAGGATGTGCAGATCATAACGCGGCCGGAGTTATACACCCCCGCTGTCTGCCTGAGTTACTTTCCGCCTAGCTATTTCAAAGGAAATTCTTTCTTTCTTTCTTTCTTTGTGCACTCTATACGTCTTTATCAAAGACCCTATGAGAAAGTGCGTTTCCTTTTCCATCGTACATTGCCATATCAGTTCCTTCTCCTTGCTTCGTGAAATTTCCTTCCTAAGAAGAAGAAAAAGAAAGAAGGAAAGGTAACAAAAAGAGAAAAGGGAAAGGAAAAATTCATGGAAAAGGAAACGATTTGTAATTCTTCTTCGAAAAGACAATAATCTCGGAAAACGAAGTACCTTGGTATTTCCTTCCTGCCGTCATTCGGGAAAAAATTTCTCTATCATTGAACAAAGATCTATATTACGATATCGTTTTCGAAAAAAAAAAAAAACGATTACGATAAGCAACGGTTAAAGTATGTCGTGCGTTAAATGAAAGAGAGGAAATAGGAAGAGAAACAATAAGGGAAACAGAGAGAGAGAGAGAGAGAGAGAGAGAGAGAGAGGATAAGGAACAAGTACAGCGATATTTTTTTTTTCTGGGAAAAAGCAGGGAAAGATTAATTGGAAGCTTCCTGGAGGATGAGAGAGCGAGAGAGCGAGAGAGCAGAGAGAGAGAGAGACGGAAAGAAGGAGAAGAAGAGAGGCTGAACAACAGGAGTAGAGCCGGGGGCGAGCTTTTTGCCGAACACATAATGCATAGCAAAGCATGACACCCTTATCTCGGGATCTTTAATTCCGTGAGCTGCCGCGAGGGGGTTGGACCAACGTCATTTGTCGGTTGCATCGCGTCGGGCCACAGGCGGTCAGAGTGCCTGGATAACGCGCCACGGCATCCTCTCGTATAGGGGCTGGAAATTGCCTTGGCTGATTTCATTTCGGGACCAGATTATTTTAAGGGGACCTCATCCTCTCTCTCTCTCTTTCTCTCTCTTTATCTGTCTATCTATCTCTAGCTCTGTCTTTCTCTTGTTAGCTCTTCCTCCCCTCTTTCACCCTCTTCTCTACCTATTCTGCGTGATTAATGCGATACGCATCGAGTTAGGGAGAAACGTCTTCGAAGGTCGACCGCGGAAAATCCGATTAATTTGCGAACTCGCGTACGAGAATAGTTTAAACGATCGAACACATCTTTCGTCATAATTGTGTTTTAGATCTCGAGAATAATACTTTTCTTTCTTTTTTCTTTTTAATTATTTTTTTGAAGCGGTTCCTTTTATAAAAGATCTTTGAAAGATATCGAATGATTTTTTCTCTTCTTCTTGATCGTTCGCAATTTTTAAGAGAAATAACGACAAGATGCAATAGCGGGGTGGAGGGGGGGTGGAAGGGGATGTATTGTAAAATTCATTACGTAAAAGTCATTGATCGAAATTATATCGATCGTTCATAAGAAAACTTGCAATATATAGAGGATAGAAAATTACGTAAAAAAAAATATATCAGAATACCCACCTTTCTTCTCGTATCAGCATTTTCATTATCCCCGAAGTACGAAGATGTTTATATTAAAAGTCATTAAATTACGGTAATACACACGCACGCACTTACGTATCAAAATATATATATATATATATATATGTATGCGTGTTGTGTAGTAACGACGCACAAATATATATGTATGTAAATCCCTGAAGAATCTATCGTTTGCGTAAAATCTCATCAAAATTCCGCCTCCCTGATTAAGGCTTAATTTCCGGCCTTGCTAGCGAACGTACGAACTGTTGTACGTATGTACGTACGTATGTACGAAGGAGGGAACGAGAACAGAAGGTGGGATCGCAAACGATATCGTGTAGAAACCGGTCGATAGAGAGATATCGAATTAATACAGAACTCACCGAGAGATACGAGAGAACGTATACCCATACACGTTTTAATATACATATCATAGTAGGTACGTGATACTTTTCAAAAGAATAGTATATATATCGTCTAAATACCATGAAATAATATTATAAATCGAATATATCTCATCGAGGTCGTTCGGCAAAGCAAATGTGTGTGACAAAAATGTCCATTGTCCCTTTATGAAAAAAAAAAAAAAAAAAAAAAAAGGAAAAAAAACACAAACAAAAAAAGAAAAAAGAATATAATAAAAAAAGAAACAAAGAAATAATCGAAAGACAGAGGGAAAGAAAGAGAAAAAGGTATAAACAACGTGCACCACGTAGTTTTAAGAAGTTTCAACGTATCCCCATTATAAAGTCTTCACCGAGCATAATAACGTTTGACTCCGTGGGTCTTGGAAGGCATTAGGGAAATCGCATTTGTTCTCTTTCTCTTTCTCTCAATCTTCTCCCCTTTCTTTCTTTCGTTCTCCTTTCCCTCCGTACCTTTCCTTCTCGTTCCACAAGTCGTAACTCAGGGACGACCAATACGGTCCTGTACGGAAGGTAAACCGAACTCGAATACCGCACGCGGTATTTTCCGTTCGTTTCGCGATTTCGATGGTAGTTCGATTGCGAGGAGGGCCGCTCTGGCCTCTCGCGTTCTTCGAAAGACCATAAATAGACCGAACGGAATAGTAGGAGGGCTGGTAGATGGGGGGGAAAGAATAGGTAGTATACGTGGTCTGGGCGGAACGAAATTCGCTTTTCTCTCTCTCTCTCTCTCTCTCTCTCTCTCCCTCCCTCCCTCCTCTACGTAGCTCTCTAATGTTCTGGAAGTGAAATAAAAATGCTCCTCGAATGTATCAGATTGTATTTATAAGAATGTTATATTTCCTCGGTAGTAATGGGAGCCCCTACAGAGCCGATCGTAAATATATCGGTAATGCGCTAGTAAACGATATTATATACAGATGAATAACAAAAACGTTCTTGCGCTTGCTGGTGGTAGTGGTGGTAGTGGTAGTGATGGTGAGAGACGTTGGCGAGTGTAAGAAGGAAAGGACGAAATATAGAGGAACGTGGAAGGACACGTGGTTTTGAAGGTCAGCGATTTGTGTTGTTTTTAGATAGATTCTCGAAATAGCCTTGGGAATATTTGGGAGAGAAAATGGAAGGATAGAGGAGGAGGGAGGATAAAGTTTATTTTCTTTCTTTCGAGTGTTCATTGTTATTTTCTCGTGTTGTTTTTTTGTTGTTCTTGTTGTTGTTGCTTTTTTGTTTTTTTGGTTTTTTTTTTCGTTTTATTTATTTTTTTTTTTTTTTTTTTTTTTTTTTTTCGTATTTGTTGCTTCTAATCTACGAGTACGACGACGGTAAGAAGTGCGCGTTTCGTTTATTTCGCGGTGCTTACTCTGTGAGAACATATTCTCTCGTATCTTTCTTTTGTACTTCATCGATACGCGGCCTCTCTCGAGCAATTGTTTCTTCCTTTTTTCTTTCTTTTTTTTTTTCTTTTTTCCTTTCTTTTTCTATCTGTTAGCTAGAAATCTCTTTTCCGATAATGTCGATCGACGGATTTGCGATTTGCTCGATCTTCATCTTTCGATTTGTCATCGTTCGAGATGACGATTCATTTTGTTTTGCTTTCTTTCTTTCTTTCTTTTCCTCTTCTTTTTTTTTTGTTTTTTTTTGTTTTTTTTTTCTTTTTTTTTTTTCTTTTTAAATAAAAACAAAAAGGAAATAATAATATTGTCACACTTTGCTTCTTCAATTATATGCAGTATATTTACAGGTACGAGCGCGTCGATCCTCCTCGATCATCACCATTAAAAAATCGGATTCCCTTTCTTATTCATAATCCTTTGGCGTGGATGCATACTGCTCTCTCTCTCTTTCTCATCTCCTTTGTCTTCATTTCTTTCTCCGTCTTTGGTTTGAAAATTTAAAGCTTCGACCGGAGATTAACAGAGAAAAAAAAAAAAGGAAAAGGAAAGAAAAAATAAAAAATACACGGGAATATACGAAAAATCCGTGCGACTCGTTTCCGCTTCCTTTTTTCTTGTTTTTTTTTTTTTTTTCTTTTGTTTTTCTTTCGTTAATTAATCATACATCGTTAATCTTTGGTATCGGCTGTATGGAACTCGAGTTCGTGAATTCACTTGAAAAAAAAAGAAAAAGGCATTATCAATTATAATACTTTTCGTGCCGTTCTCTGTGAGGGGTGGGGAAAAAAAAGAATAAAAAATGAAAAATAAACAAAAAAAAAAGAAGAAAGAAGAAAAAAAACTAAGGAACGTCGAGAACATGAAAAAGTCCTCGTACTAAAAATGGCAAGATTTCCTAAATTTATTCAACGAGAATTAAAAAGAAAGAAGAAGAAGAAGAAGAAGAAGAAGAAGAAGAAGTATAGTAATAATAATAATAATAAGAAGGAAATGTGAGAGGATGAAAAAGAACACAGGAATCGTTTGACTTTCTTTGCTTCTGTACTCTTCCTCCTTCTTCTTTTTCTTCTTCTTTTTCTTCTTCTTCCGTCCTCTCCCCCTCTTCTTTATTATCATCCCTCTATCTCGATGTCGCCGTCTCTTTCTCGCTCGAACAATCGGCTAATTGGAAGGATTAAAAAACAACGAGAGCGAATTACGTTAACCGGTTTAACGAAGTAATAATAATCATAGAAAGATCTTAATCGTTAGACGTATACTCGTATAACCTCAGGCGTCCACTCGTGGAGTCGATATATTAGTGAGGATATTTACAGATCGACTCCATCATTCTCTCTCTCTCTCTCTCTCTCTCTCTCTCTCTCTTTCTTTCGCACATATCACTCATTCCTTCTTCATCTTTTTTTCTTTACTTATCATTAGAAACATATCTTACACAGACTGTCCGTTTATGGTGTACCACGAGCACCGTTAATTTACAATGTGATGATTCTCAAGAATCAACTTTGTCATCGTCATTGTCACACTTCTATTTTCTCCCTCTTTCTTTCCCCCTCTCTCTCTCTCCCTCTCTCTCTCTCGCTCGCTCTTTTATTTTTTTTTGTCGTCGAGTTCCTTTACGTGACAAAAGAAAAATCATTCCTCCGTCCGGTTTAGATATTTTTCGCCGTTTCAAGTGACGGAAGTTTTAGCCAACGAAGTTTAGCCGCGCAACACTCGACACGATTTCTCGGCCGATTAATAACCGCTGAGACATCTGAGCTTCTTCAGGGGTGGCAAGGCCTCGTCTCAGCTCGTCGGTGCCTGCATCGTCATCGGCAGTGGTTTCACCGAGCCCAAACCGCCTGGCCCAGATAGGCCGTTGTTATTCATGTCACCGGGTGCACGAGGCCCACCAACGCCTATGGCCGTTCCATTTACCGTAGGCCCTCCTCCACCTGACATCTGACCCTGAAGTCAGAAAACGTAATCGTTCGCTGAACGCTCTCCGATATCCTAATATCATTTACTTCTTTCGTGGTTAATTCGATTCTTAAATAAATTTCTTCAGTTTTAAAATAAATCTTCTTTAAACGAATCAATAAAACTTTTTCGATAAATTAAATATATTTCTTCCTTGAAAATTTCAGCTCGTCGTTGATAAAAAAAAACTTACGTTCGTCGCGTGATTATGAGGGCCAACCATCTGTCCTATGCCCTGGTGTCCCTGAAGAGGATTGTGACCAGGATGAACGTTCTGTCCAGGTGGCGTCGCCGTTGGTGGTAGTTGCCTTTTTATATAGGCGAGGGATGCTGGCGACTGCGGCGCCATATTGGCGAACCTCGCTTCGTAATCATACTCGCAAAGGATTTTATTCTCACACAGATAAAACCGATCGCCAACACAAAACCTGCAATCATAAATGAAACAACCCTTGTCCATCTTTTTATAACAAAATATATGATAAATTAAATCTATTATATTCCGATAGATCGTTCACGATCGCCTAAGATCTTTTATCGAGAATTAATCGATCAAACGATTATCAGAAATTTATGAAAATGTATTTATAAGAAGAAAAATCCCCATGAAAAGGAAAGAAATCATAAAGAGTAAATATGCTAACAAGGAAGAAACACCTGTTGATGCTCTAGCTTTGGTTAAGGTAGTAGGGTACGCGAAGGAAGCTGGAAGGATAAAGAAAGAAAGAGAAAAAGGGAGAGAAAGAGAGAGAGAGAGAGAGAGAGAGAGAGAGAGAGACAGTTTATTAAAGATCAACGAATATGTTAGAATTTATAGAAAGTATTTATCGAACGCAATTTCTGAGGAAACTTAATTGACCCCGGTCATAGTAGAAGGGGAAGGAATATTTTTTCCTTTTTTTTCGACTTTTTTCTTTCTTTTTTATTCTTTCCTTTTTTCTTTTTTTTCTTTTTTCTTTTTTTTTTTTTTTTTTTTTTTTTTTTAATCCGAAAATGGTCGAACGTCAAAACGCGGAAAGTTTGATGGACGCTTGGAAATTTGTACCGATTGACAGTCGCAGAATTATCTCGCGCGATGTATCTGTCTCTCGTATTTCCATCTTCGTCCATACATATATATATATATATATGTATATATATATATTTTTTTTTTGGAGAGGGATAGAGTGGTAGAGGGAGGAGAAAGAGAGATAGATCGATAGTAGGTAGAGGGGAGGAAGGGTGGAAGGGAGAAGCAGTAGTAATAGCACTAGTGGTAGTAGGAAGAGGAGAATGAGGAGTAGGAGAGTAGGAGGAGCAGGGAAAAAGGACGACATCGGTCGATAACGAGCGCATCGCGACGTGCCGGACAAATAATTATTATCGGCCTTCTCTGTCCGCGAGCGGTGTCGTATCCGCTTTGATCCCGGCAGGAAATACGAGAGCGAAATACGAGAGCGCGCCGAGTCTGGCTCGTGGTAGATACTCTCGTAATCGCACGGCAAATAGAATTAGCGCCCATCGTGCACGCGGCCTCGCTGCTCTACCGTAGCTTATACCAGCTTTCCCTCGTTTTCAAGCTGGCCATACCTCCTCCTCCTCCTCCTCCTCCTCTTTCCATATTCCCACCACCTTTTCTCCCTCTCTCTCGTCTCTCTTTTCCTCCCTCGCAAATTATACGATTGACACGTCTGTGCTAAATGACGCCGCCGAGTAGTCGACAATGTTGCAATTCGAACGTGTTTTGCTTCTTTTCTTGGAAAAAAAAAAAAAAAGAAAAAAAGAAAAAAAAAGACGAAAAAATATTTGAGTATTATCGGTATTATCATCGGTCTTACTTAACACTAAGTTAACGCCTTGTTCCTTCGCGTGCCTATAATTGAAACTCGATTGAAACAATTTTTTTTAATGTTTCTTTATTTGACACAAATTAAATATATATAACTACGCTCGAACGCGGAAATGTTTTCAAAGCCTTTTTGGTACGCTCGTCTGGACTAGAGATAGAGATATTATCATAACTGCGCAGTCATTGGAATTATCGCACAGCAGTACGAGCACACTCATTGCGTTGGATTTTCCATTATTATGCTCTCTCGCGAATAATGCCACCGCGCGAAAGGCTATCCTTTAATTCTCGCGGAAACGTTACCCGTGCACGTTCACGATGATACCAAATGCGAGTTTATCTTTCTCTCTTTCTCTCTCTTTCTCTCTCTCTCTCTCTCTCTCTCTCTCTCTCTCTCTCTCTCTCTCTCTCTCTCTCTCTCTCTCTCTCTCTCTGTCTCTCTCTCTCTGTTTCTCTGTCGAGTGACTAACGCGATTTTCATTCGAGCAAACGAACTAATTAGATAGACGTTTTAAAGCTTGATACGATTTTTCTAATAGGTCAATCGTTTAATCGCGTTACCGTTGGAAGAGATTCCTTTATCAAATGTCGGGCTTCGAAAGGCGTCGTCCCTCATAAGAAAGTCTTATTAACAGAAATATTCGACCGGGAAAGATCGTAGAAAAGGTTTTCTCTAATCGAAACGTAAACCTTTCCATTTTCTAAAGCTTTCCTATAAGAGTAAGAAACTATAGGTGAATGCACGTGTATAGTAACGCAAGTGCAAGAGAGTTTGAAATATTAATCGGTCGCTAGCATGAACGAGAGTTGCTTCCTAAAGGATGTAAGAGTGTACAGTGCTGAGAAGGAGAGAGAATGAGAGAGAGAGAGAGAGAGAGGGATGGAGAGAGGGAGGTGGGCGGAAGAATGAGGGAGAAGTTAAAATCACAAGAGAAAAAAGATGGTGGTAGGGAGTAGAGAGAGGGAGTGGTGGAACGTCGTCTCGCTCTCGGAGTTTGCATGGAAAATTTCAATCTGGGTGTACTCGGATAACTTGGCTGAATCTTTAACGAGGGTCACCGGGCTTTACGAAACACCAACCGAGAGAGTCGTCCATAGACTGGGTTACTACGTAGAAAAGGGAAATAGAGACGTTGCTATCGGAGATGTAGAAAGAGAAGAGAACTGTGTATAAGTGGAAAAGAAAAAAAAAAAAAAAAAACAGAAAGAAAAGAAAGGAAAAGACAAAGAGTGTACTGCAGTTTGAATAAATAAATGCGATAGTCGGTGCCAATGTGTGACCCCATTAGGACCGCTTTACTGCCGACCCCAGTGGTGCCAGCATGCCTGCCCATAGTCCTCCAAGAGTAATATCTATGGTGCTTCGACGAATGCGAAATAGCTAAAATGTAGCTTGTTTCTCGAATGTCTCTGAAATAGTTTCTGCTGAATCGAGAAAGTACTCGACGATTTTCTTGGTAAGCTTACTTAGCGCTTGAAAAAATATCATCTATTCCGATCGAGAGAAGTCCAAGGATTTGTTTTTACCGTCTGTATATGATTCGATACCGATAAAAAGAATACAAAAGTAAGACCATAAAAAACGGGATACTAATCGATATCAATTTTGTCATTCACATCGATCATCTGTAGTAGGCAGGTGCGACGGAACAAGAATGCGGAATGGTTGAGTGCTGCGAGTAAACGAGTGCGCGAGAAAGAGAGACAACGATGAAGAGAGAGAGAGAGAGAGAGAGAGAGAGAGAGAGAGGGAGAGAGATGTAGCTAATTGGATCGGTAAATCATCCCTCTGTCTAGGAGGGTGGCAACATAGTCACTGCCACCGGCAACCCTTTATTCTGTGTTATTACAGTCTAAAGTTACCCCGCGCGTAATTGTTGCTGTTTAATTGCAAGCTCTAAGTCGTCGTATTACGCGACACACAGCCATTGCTGCTGCCACCGCCACCGCCGCCGCCACCGCCGCCGCTGCCTTCATGCGCATATAATTGCCTTCTTCGAGTTTGCAGCGGTAGAAGTTCTCTGACATTGCGCTAGAAAAATAATTGGATGTCATTTCCTGGGACGGAAAATGTTTATTGCCTTCTTCGAATGATCCTAAATCCTAAAGAATACAAAACACGAATAAAATCGTAGATATATACTTATCAGATATCGCATAAAGGATCTAACTTAGATATTTGTAGTTGCATGGAATAATTGTTAGAATCCTTAGAAGGTATTAAGGAGAGAAAAGTCGGACGTGCCAATGGATATTTGTTTCTGGCGGGTGCCCGTCGAAGACGGTTAAGTTATCATCGTGTCGCATCGTCGAAAAGAGGCCTGGAAGCCGACAGAGAATAGCCCTGCCGACGAGGGTATTGTCAAAGATAGACAATGCCGGACGATAAAAACGTAAAATTGATGCTCTTTTGTTCGCATTGTTTGAGAAGCTGTACAACGTTTGTCGCACGCCTGGCCGAGCCATTACTATTGGCTTGAAACTACAACCCTTCCTCCTCCGTTCTGTCTCTTTCTCTCCGTTCACTTCCCTCCTCCTCCTCCTCCTCCTCCTCCTCTAGCTCCCTTCTTCGAAACAGCGCCGACAGCACGCTTCGCTCGCTCCTGACCAATGGCAACCCTCTCCTCTCGCTCCTACCCTCCATTCCTTCCTCATTCCCCTGCCCTCTCCCTTCATCCCCGGCGTATCTCGCTTCCTCAATTCCAACGAGCCGTCAATAAGCCAGCTCACATTGTTGCGCGTTACCAGCTTTGTAGTTTCGCTATTTTACGTTCGTCCCAGCAACACGATTCTTCTCTTACTATGGTACACCACAGAAACCACGAGAACAAGTTTCTACATAGTAGAACGAAAATTTATCGTGGCTTTATGCCCGATGAAATCGTTGCCTTCAATAATCTCCTAACGAAATTTCTATTGCGGCGTGAACGATAAAGCGTGAATCTTTTTGTTCTTCATTGCCTTTTCGAAAGTGAAGAAGAATATGAAAGAGGGAAAAAGAGTTAAGAGAGAAAGAGAGATGACCAAATAAAATGAAAAGTGGAATACGAATATAGTGAGGTACGAGGACGGAGGAGAAAAGGAGGAGGGTTAGAGCAAAGGGTGATTTCCCAGCTGGCCTGTAAAGCAATCCCCCGAGTCGACTTCTGTCTCGTTCAACTCATACCCCGTCTTCTCTAGCTTTCCTCGAGTAAAGCTAGTACCTTACTTCGGGTATTGTAATTATCTTTGAAACTTGCATCGCGCATTCATAATTCAAAATTCAAGATATATATATATATATACACATACATACATATGTATATGTATATGTATATATATATATGTACCGTTGGAACATGTAGAATATTACTTACCGGTGCGTACACTGTTGACAGGCAAAACAATCGAGATGATAGACGTTCGTCCTGGCTCGCATGACCATTTCGAAGGCCGGTATAGACTTGTTGCAGGCTGCGCAATATCCTGTATTCCCGAAGAGCCTGAGGTAGTCCCTCTTGCAGAGGATAAGGTTGGCCTTCGTATAGAGCGTAGAACCGACCTCGCCTAACCTACAGTCGCAGCATGCGCACTTGAGACAGTCCTCGTGCCAGTAAAGGTCCAGGGCTTTCAGAAGATACCTGTAAAACCGACCGTAGTTTCTCTTCTTACCGACTGTTCGCTTTAAGACACATATCAGCTAGCCCTATATAGCCTTCTTATTTCAACTTCGCCGATGGTTGGAAAATATATTCGTCAGAATGATTCGATAAATTAAACGAAATTTTAAAAGCAACGCTTATTCTCGACTATCATTCAAAACGCGTTTACTTGACAAATCGATCGAGATCGATCGATCGACCGTTCGTCGCTCACGTAAAAAATTCAAAAGACGAACGATTCAGAATTAATTAACGCTGCCCATTAATTCTATGCAATTAAATCGCGGAATGAAGAGAAACAGAGAGAAAGAGAGAGAGAGAGAGAGAGAGAGAACGAATTGTTAGTAGTCGATATGTGTTGATTTTTAAAAAGGTCGGGATACTAATGAAGCAACTACGCGGTGGAGTTGCGCGAATAAAACGACTACTGCGAGGTAGAAACGCAACTGAGATGATCGTTTATTGATCTACGCTTCGTATCAAAGAGTTAAATACATGCGGATTCGAATTCATATTTGTTTCGCTCACTATCTCGGTGCTGCACGAACAATTTCACTCCCGATCGCTACCAATGGGTTAATAAGAATGTGTATTGTGTGCTCGTTATCCATGTGTGCAAAAAAATTGCTCGGATACATAGGTATACTTTTTCCTTCCATTTGCCTTTTTTTTTTTTTTTAATCTACACACAGATATAGATATATGTGTATACATATATATATATATATATATATACATAAAATTCTCAGCACGTATATCCGACAGTTTAGAACAATTCGAAATTTTCCCGTCGGTCAGTTAAATCGAAACAAACGCGGTGGCTCTGATTGGAGGCTTTCAGAGCGGATACTGGATAACCGATCGAAATAAAAAAGTCGAGCGCTAGGAGCGATGTGCCTCGAATGCTTCTCGTTAAAAACGCTAATAGCCACGATCGAAAGTGGAGAGCACGAAATAATGGATACGGCTGCAGCTGATGGGGTGGAGGTGGAGAGGGAGAATGGGAGGGGATAGGAGAAGGAGGAGGAGGAGGAGGAGGAAGAGATGGAGGAGAAGGGGAACGATCGAAAAATCGTGTTTTCAAGTCGAAACTCCATTTGCCTGACCCACCTTTCCGTGATGGTTTTCCCACAACCGGCGCATTCCTGCTGCGTCGAACCGTTTTTATTCGTTTCCGACTTACTCACGTCCATAGTCATCCTGATCCCAGCTATAACGCCTCCTGCAACATGAACCAGGGAGGATCCTTAAAATATATGATTAATTTTTCTCTTCCTCTGTAATCGTAAAGATCCGAGAACTCGAGACAAAAATCGTCTTTCTTTCCTTTCCTTTACTACGATAGTTCGGATGAACGCAGGGATCAATTGGTACATCGTTTCGACATATATATATAGATATACTTTTTCTTTCTTTCTTCAATGCAACGCGCATACACTAATTTCCTACTTTATCTGCCCTAACCGGCAAAGCATTAGATTACGAGAAGTGCGATTTGAGTGCGATTTGAACGAACACATTTGTTGAAGCGTGAGCACACGTCTGTACCGCCGAAGCGATTCGGCGGGTGGATAGCGCGAGAGGGTGGTTTAGCGGGTGGTGGACTCTGTTGAGAGGTGCGCGCGCGGCGAACCTCGGGAGGAATGAAGGAGATTCGAGTGAACGGGGGTAAAGAGGGGAGAATGGGGGAGGAGCGGGTTGTGGGGTAGGAGGGAATGGCGTGCGCGACGCCAGAGAAAGGATTCCCGAGAGTGGAATGGGGAAAGGGTACACGGTGAGGCGCGGGGCTTAATTAATTAGCCGGATACTTTGAGTAACAATCCATTATTACATACAAACATCCTCGGCCCCGGGGCCAAGCTGCAGCTTTATGCTGCTAATTGGCCTTCTCAAAGCTGGGAGACCCGGGCACGAGTTATAAACGCTACTCTCTCCCTCTCTCTCTCTCTCTCGTTCTCTATCTTCCTCGCTCACGTTACCGTCGTATATACGTGTGTATACTTCGTTCTATCCTTCTATCTTTCTCTCTCTTTTGCATATACACATACATGAAGACACGCGTACAAGTAAAGTACATACAATTGCATAGAGATCTATGGAAAGAGTGAAAGAAAGAGAGAGATAGAGAGCAGCATGCGCGCGCCTACACATGCGCGCCAAACGAAGAAGAAAGAAGGAGAAAGAACGAGGAGAAACGAAGAGAGAGCGATCGTGGCTTGAAGGGAGAGAGAGAGAGAGAGAGAGAGAACGGATAGCGCTAATAACGCGCTCGTGGCGCAAAAAAAGGAAGAAGTATAATTGCCAGCCCTCGTGGCAGGTATTTTTCAAATAGGACCCGTCCGTTAATTGGAGGGCAAATTAAAGAGGAGCCGCGGAGGAAAAAAACATCGTTCCTCCATCATGCACCCCCGCGTGCTTACTTCTCTCTCTCTCTCTCTCTCTCTCTCTCTACGATCACCCCTTCTCCCAACCTTTTCCTCTCTTCTCATAGCCTCACCACCGATGCTCCGACTCGACAAGATATCTGCTAGGCGCCTCGCGATTCGTCAAAACGAAGCGCGTTGCTTTTCCTCCACCTGTCTCTTGCATTTTTCTTTTATTTTCATTTTATCCTTTTTATCTTTCCTTTTCTTTACTCAACCGATCACCACAATCAGTTGGATCTACTCCAACAACTATGAAAAATAGTTCGTAAAGTCCAATAAAGTTTCCCTATCTACGGATATATATATGTATATATATATATATATATATATATATATATATATATATATATATATATATGTATATACCTAAGTAGATTTGTCGATCGTTAAAAGAAAAAGCAGACTAAAATCAAGGGGAAAATAAAGAAGCAACGTGGATGCTGGACTCGAGGCGATTAAATCGCACAAATTGGATACGCGAACCGGTCTGTAATTTAATCTTTCAGCGCGTCACGGACCAGTATAAACTTGAGAGCTCGCGAGACACAAATAACAGACGTTGCGACACATAGTTACATCTATAATCCTTGCGTACATCTCCGCGAATACACGAAATCCACAAAAGACATTCTCGCGAATGGATTGAGTTGCGAGGAAGATGAAATAGAGAGAGAAAGAGAGAGAGAGAGAGAGAGAGAGATAGTCGGTTCGAATGATAAATACGGTCGAGACCGCAATATCCTGATCCGTGGTAAGCGTACACCTACGTGGCCGTGGCCGTTCAACAACTCGATATTGTAGCATTGCCGCGTATCGACTACATTCCTGTTCGACCATTTCCCTCCTCCTCCTCCTTTTTCTCCCTTCCTCTTATCCATCGTCTCCCTCTTTTCCTCGTCTCGGCTTCGCGCACATTTCATTACGCGTCACTAACATTGAATTTTTCCTCATCCTTTTCCCTTTCGATTCCTATCGGCCCTTTGAATCCCTTTCTCCCGAATGGCTAATCAACTTTAGCTACAACAATATCGTATCGCTTACCGTTGTTTTTACCATCGGTATAGAATAAGTATTAATTGCAACGAAAGCTGTAACACCGAGATCGATAGATAAAGTTCTATGTAACTAAAATCGTTCGAAGTAATAAAAAGAAACGAGAGGAAATTCGAAACAATACACCATGAAAGTCCTGGATAGTGGGAAAAGTACGATATCCGATCGGCAACGTATAGGACTTTTTATTCGGTCAATATAAGAGAGGAGAGGCACCCTTCTGAGATTACGAAACTGCCCTAACAGCAATATGGGAGCACCTATAGCCACCCCCTCTTTTTCCTCTTCCACAACTACCCTTACCTTCCCATTCGCCACTCGGCCAAAACTCTGGACTATCCGTCGCGAGATATCCTGTCCAGCCGGACAGGGCTGGCGGGTGGTTTAATAAAAATGTCAAATATAAAGTAGCCGGCGGGGTCGGACATTTAGGAAATAAATAAATGTAAAAGAAGAGAGTGAGAGGGGAGACGGAGGAGAAAGGAAGAAAGGGAGAAGAAGAAGAAGAAGACCGAGATAGAGTGGAATCCGAAGTAATACGCGACTGCAGAGAAAGGAGAGAGAGAGAGAGAGACAGAGAGAGAGAGAGAGAGAGAGAGAGAGAAGGAAAAAGACAAAAAGAGGGTTTGACGGAATCTCTCTCTCTCCCTGTCTCTCTCTCTCTCTCTCTCTCTCATACTCGTTGTAAGTCTCGTGCAAGTGGACGAGGTCCCACGTATAATATTTCTATCGAGAGAAATAGAAGACAGAGAGAGAGAGAGAGAGAAAGAGAAGTTAGTATATCCCACCCTCCAACACGCGTATACTGAAATGCACTCTACGGTTTTCAATTTCATGGACATTTTTTTCAAGCATTCTCGCGGGCGTTACCTTTTCCACTCGGAAATCGAGGGTGGACCGGACGAAGGGATAAAACGAAGAAGGGTTCGCAGTCTGATATCTAGGATACTACCAGTAGTGCCAGGTCCAAGTACCCGTAGAGATTTCAAAAGAAAGAATGAATATGTATCTATAAAAAGAGAAAGGAATATAATATCTTTTTTTTCGGGTAACAAAAAAAAATAAAAAGAAATAAAAAAAAAAATATTTAATTCGACGATCGAAATCTTTCGTTGGTAAGACGACGAAATAATCGAAATGTCGTATACGAGAGAGAGATACATAGGTGCTGAAACAGCGAGCACCATTGCAATTTCGGGGTTTAATAATGATCCCAGCCGACGACTCGAGACTACCTCCCGTGTCATTATACTATGAAGTGGAGAGGCTGCTAATTAGTCATTAGCGGAGGAAAAAGACAGCAAGCAACGGGTGCTGTAGGACGGGCAGCAACCCCATCCGACGCGGCCGCATCGTCGTCGTCGTCGTCGTCGTCGTCGTCGTCGTCGTCGTCGTCGTCGTCAGAGCACAGGTACGGGCAAACTCGAGCAAACAGGGTGTAGCTTCTAGCCTACGTCTAATTGGACCCCGGCGACGTAAGTTCTACTAATTGAGACCAGGCCTGTAACTATCAGCGGCCACGAGAGGGTCCTTTGGAATTTCTCATCCGGAAATTAACGATCTATTCTTTTCGATTAATAATTTCTATTTCTTATTTCTTTTTAAATATACTCATTTATGATCGATCGTTATTTAATTACGTTATGTTCTTCGAGAGTTAATTCGTCCTTGAGAATCCGATATTTAACGAAACATGGAAACTATAGATATATCGTCTAACATCTGTCCCGTTCCAATCGGAATGAGAGTGCACGCAATGAAGCTTTACGTAGGAGAGCCAAGAAAGCTCTAGTTATAAAGCGTACCGCCAACGTTACTTACAAATGTATGCAGTTTCTATGGTCGGTAGAGGGGGATGAAAAGGGGAATATCAGCGTGTATACCTTGCGGTCGAAAAGTTATTAGTTTCACTCGAGTAAGCGTGGAGCAGTTTACAAGCTATGACTAATTGGACCTCGGTAACGTACCTGCAAGTTCCGCTAATTGAGGCGGCCAGTTCGCTAACTACCAGAAGGGCTTTCGAAAATATAGGTATTCAGGAGAAGAATACGGATTCAGAAATCAATAGATACGATCCGTCGATTATAATTCACGTAATTTCTGATATTCTATAAACTTCGTCCGTTTTAATTAGACCCTCCTCTCTATTCGTTAATGTCGCGTGTAAGAAGTTTTCTTTGCGAAATTTTTTTTTTTCTTTCGCCAAGAAGAAGACAGGAAAAAACTGGCGAGATCATCAAGAAACGCGAAACCTGTCCCGCAATTAACTCTCCTCGATAACGAAATTGCGACAGTCTTATATCTATATATCTCTCTCTTTCTATATATATATATATACATGTGTATGTGTGTCTATTTATATATATATATGTATGTATGTATAGTATCTATGTAAGTACGTGTGTAAGAACCTTTAGTTGGAAGAGACATACAAGTTTGAACGGACGCATAACGAGCCCACCAGGGAACGACGAAGAGGAGAGTAAAGAGGAAGGATGGAGGAAGATAGGGCATAAGATGAGAAGAAAAGGGAAAAGGATGGGAGTCAGATGTATATATATATATACATTTATATATATATATGTATATATATATATATATATATATATATATATATATATAGAGAGAGAGAGAGAGAGAGAGAGGGTAGGCAGCGCCAAATTTTAATTTCACCCCTAACAAGGCAAGGTACGGAGGAGGGTGCTCCTCGGCCCCTTCAGGACCACGGGATTCCATCCTTCAGGATCATTATATCGCCAATTAGAAGATAGCGAAGCTCGCCGGCGCCTAACAAGCTTCCTGGGGAGACAGACCTTCTCCCGATTCGAGGCAAGTGCTATATACGCGCACGACGTATACATCTTTGTGAGCCAGTAACACCGCCTTCAGCCAGTGCAAAATGTAACAGCTGGAACTCCTTGACTTTTCGAAGTCATTCGTTCGCTTCTTTGCCAAACGAAAGAGATGAAAAAAGAAAAAGAGACAGAGAAATATAAAGAGACAGAGAGCAAGAGAAAATGGTTGTGACGCAGTCCAGACTGCTCGAAATATTTTAGCGATAATTAAAAATATATAAGAGCTAAAGATTTTTCGACTTTCTATTTTCTCGGCACAAGCGAGATTATTACGTCGGTCGTTAGACGTTCAGAGAATCGGATCCGAGTTCCTCTTCCTTGGTGCCGCAAAGCGAGGAGAACATGCGCGCGCGCGCGCCTGAGAAAGAGAAAGAGAGAAAGAGAAAAAGAAAGAGAGAGAGAGAGAGAGAGAGAGAGAGAGAGAGAAGGTTCGCTCCTTCATCTGGGATCCAATTAACGATAGGCGAACCAAACTCCAAGCGAGCAGCCAGTTAAAAATTAGCTCCGCGCTCCTGACGCCATCTTGGTGATCTCTCTCTCTCTCTCTTTCTCTGTTACCTTCCTTCTCCTCTCCTTCATTCCCTTTTACTTCAAGAAGGGTGAACGGGCATGTTATGTCCAGCACGCGGATATTACAACCACCCACACCAACCCTTATCCGCTAGACAACTCTCCACTTCCCTGCACTATTACCTACTAATACTACCACTACAACAACTACTACCACTAGCAATGTCTAGGTACTTATATGGGGTGCATAGCAAGGGATATACGATGGGTTTCAATTTAAACTTATTTTTGTAGCTCGCGTGCTACCTCGATCGGGGAATTCGTTGAATCTTTGGAAAATAACCGTCACCCATCTTCGTTATTGGCTTAAGGATAAGAAAAATTTATTTTCTAATTAATAATTTATCGTATCGATGATAGATCGAGGATTAATTGGATGAAAGAATAAACGGAGAAGCAAATAAAGCGTTGTGAGCGTATATTATACAAAGGGAAAAATGGGGCTGACGGAATTCAATTTAAACTTATTTTTGTTCTTACAATATCTGAAATGGTGAATCTAAATACGGGAATAAAATATAAAATTGCTTCTGCCAAGCGAGAAGA